CAATATCCCTAGTACCACGACCCCTTCTAAACCCAGCCTGGACTTCCGGCAGTTCTCTGCTGATGTGCTGTTCTAATCGTTTTTGGATGATCTTCAGCAACTTGATGGTACAACAGAAATTCCAACAAGTCCCCTTTCCAGCAGAAAGTCTCATCCCTGAGTCAATCATGTGGTCTTCTGACCTAGGGGTCAGTGTACTCTGCACACCAGTAGCCCAGTGTGGGGAAATGAAGGAAGCAATAGCATGGAGGCTGCCCTTCTGGGAGAGACTGAGCTGGCGTCAGGGCACGAACTGATGAAAACTCCATTTGTGAGTGTCTGGGCCTAGGATGGAAGGTGGGAGGGGGTACCTGGGGACCAAATAATAGAATTGCTTGCAGACCTGTAAGAGGCACCTGTGAAATTCCCTGGGGAGGCAGGGAGTGGCATTGCTCCAAGCTCTCCAGTGAGTCTAGTGCTCAGTCACCATGCAGAACCAGTCATGTAATGCAGTTCACACAGGAGACGAGGTTGAGGCCAGCAGTGCACACAGACCCTCAGTCACCTACTCACCTACAGCACAGAGTTCAAGAAAGGGACCTGAGGTCACAGAGCAGGATAAGTGATGGAGACGTGATTGGGACACAGGCCCTCTCTGCTTCACTGGACCACACAGAGGTGGAAAAAGGGTCAGGGATATTTCCTTGAGGAAAGGGTGTTTGCCCATCTGTGTCAGCCCCTCACTTCCAGGTAGAGAAGTAAGGAGACCAGCCCCACCTTCCCAGGGCCACACTCAGGCCTGGTCCACAGAAAGTCTGAATTCAACTGTTTCTTCTCACCAGCCCTGCTCAGTAGCTCACCTTGCTTTCCCAGATCCAACTCTCAGCCCAGGAAAGATGAGAAAGCTCAAACCAGAGAGAAGGTGAGTTTATTGCAGTGTCTAAGGGCTTGCTGCCAAAGAAAGTATACTGACTCTTGCCCTTCAAAGCCCAGAATAAACAGAACCCTGGTCATCAGCTTCACAGGCCCCCTGAACACCACCTCCAATGTTTCAAAGCCAAGGGCCAAGCTGTACAGCTCCACATGCCCAGTGTCTTCTCTACGTCCAAATCCCTCCTCCTCCTGTCAGGGGACAGATGACCAGCTAGGGGGTGCTCTCGAGCCCTCAGTGGCCCCTTACCATGGCCCCCTGGCAGGGAGGGTGAGGACTTGAGCCAAACTGAAGCCCTGGAAGGGAGCTTGTGGCAGACAGTGGAGAGAAAGCAGGGTCATGGGATCTGAAGCAGAGGTCTGCAGGCCCTCAGTGAGGGAGGGCTCAGGCACAAGCCTCAGCCCCACAACCACTGGGCCCTTCAGCCTTGCTTGCCAAGCTGTAGTAGTAGCCACGCATGCGCTGCTCCACAGCCACGAAGTCTGGACGGTCCTCCCACCTGTGGGGCAGGTAGATCCAGGTCACTGACCACAGCCCCTGGACCCAAGCACAGCCGAGGGTGAGCAGGCAATGGGGCATGGTGAGGTGGACTTCCAGAGCTCAGAAAGTCTGGTATGGACTTGTTGGGCTGGTGGGGGATTGGGTGACAGAGTGTTCGCTCAGAGGTAAGAGGACTTAGTTCAAACGCTGCTTTCAGGATTAGCCTAGGAGATGAATAGCTATTGGCTAACCATTGGCTAGTGAGGACTTTGGGATTAAGTCATGGGATAATGGAATGACAACTGTTGTCCTGGACAAACAGGGATAGTGACTATTGGAATACTTTGTACCAAGAAGTGGGTCATGGGTAAATGTGTGCAAGTGTGCTATCCCAAAGATTCTGGAACGCACATGGCTGAGTATTCAGGTGTGAGCTGTAAGATCAGCAGTGCAAACCCACCAGCCACTGCAAGAGAAAGATGTGGCAGTCTCTGCATAAAGATCATATGCCAGGACACTCAAAGCAGCATTCCACTCTGCCCTGTAGGTCACAATGTTGTGTACTGTGGAGCCAGAACAGACTCACAGCTGACCCTCAGAGGGTTTTCAGAGGCTCTAAATCACGGGGGGGAGGGGGTGGGGTGTGAAAGCCTATCTTTCTCCCATGGAACAGTCTGGAGGACTTGAACCACATGTCCTATGGTCAGAATCAACTTGAAGGCACACAACAATGGCACCATGCTGTCCATCCACAAGCAGAAGGCCAGAGTGCAGTTTTGGCCAGTGGAGAATTGAGTATTAATGCTTTGGGGGTGGGATATCCATGTTTAGTGTATTTAGATGTTGGTGGACAGGATCATTTCTGATGGAGGATGAGTGGACACATGCTGGGTTAACAGACACCCTAGGGGTCTACTAGGCTGCTTGGAAGGTTTTGTGTCAATGCCATGGGTGCTTGGTGTCGGGGGTCTATGGTACAATAGGCTGGTTGTCAAAATGGTTTTCCTAGCACATTGCTTTCACATTTGCCACAGGGCCTGGTGAGGCTATGCTAATGAAGTGAGTACATGAACAGTACCTCTTGGGTAGAAATACGCAAAGTGTGTAGGTACCGATGATAGAACTGGACAGGCTTGCCACTGTACCAGGCTACACTGAGCAGGTTTAGAAACAGGGGTGGCAATCGTGTTACTCATAAGAAGGAAGTAATGCTCACCCATGTTTATCATGGCTTTGTTCACAATAGCAAAGAGTTGGAAACAACCTAAGTGTCCATCAACCAATGAATGGATAGAGAAGCTGTGGTATATTCACACAATAGAATACTATGCTGCATTGAAAAACAAGGAACTCATGAAATATTATACAAAATGGGTGACCTTGGAGGACATTATGCTGAGTAAAATATCTCAGTCACAAAAGGACAAATACTGCATAGTGCTACTGTTGTAAAAGGAAACTGACATCAGGATTGGGGGAGACAGAAAGATGGGATAAATTATGTATACTGCATTGAAACAGATGAGAGACAGAACTGTTTAAAGGATATATATGATTAGGTATTATTGTCATGACATGAGTCCAGAATGAAGGCTGCATAGTGGAGTTGACTTGGGGAGAGGGATTATATAACAATGAAGGAATTTTTCTTTTACTTTTCAAAGAGAAGAATGAACTGGAGGGGAGGGATGGGCAGGGAGAAAAGTGCAACAATGAATGAGTGGAAATCCAAAATCTCTGTAAGTTTTCATTAAAATTAATTAGATAGATAGATAGATAGATAGATATGTATCTATGTATCTATATCCATATCTATCTCTATATCTATCTATATCATCTATATCTACATCTATATCTATATCTATATCTATATCTATATCTATATCTATATCTATATCTATATCATCTATATCTATAGATAGATAGATAATGTAGTGAGAATCCTTCAAGTCCTTTCCATGTTAAGACGGCCAGTTCTCTCAGGTGAGAGCAGCAGCTCTCCGTGGGGAACGAGTGACCAATAAGTAAGTGACAAAGCGGACCCAGGACTGCTAGTCCATGGAGCCATGGCCAAGGGGCCCGGCCAGAGAGTGAGGTGCGGGGGGAGACAACATAAATAGCAGGACTAGGAGTGCTTGGTAACACTATCTTAAAGCTGAGAGACTGGTGGTCAGAAGCCCTGTGAGCATCCCTGAAAAGCTGTCCTAAGTGAACACTTGTACGCTGTTTCCACGGTGAAACCTCATAACCTCAAGTCTGGTTCTATGAGTTCTGTATGGGCCACTGCAAAGATTACAGCAGAAAGGAGGGGCAATTGGTGTTAGAATTGGTAAAAAGGAGGTGCAAGAGCATAAGGGAATGCCTGACCTCGTGGGAACTGTTTTTGTGCTGTGGATGTTACAGATGGGAACTATGGACTCTTGTTGAGTAAGTGGAGGTCAGGCTTGGCTGCCCTTGCACCACAGTCTTTGCACAGGTGCCACGGTATCGGATGCACCTTGTTTGCTGTCTGATGGGAGGTTGGAAGGCTGGCTGACAGTGCTGCGAGTAAGGCTGCCGAAGCTTTAAACAGACAGAAGTGGGGCTCTGAATCTGTTAAGTGTTTGAGTTGCAGTTGTTGTTGTTGTTGTTGATTGCCTTCGAGTGGAGCACGACTCATAGTGACCCTATGAACAAAAGGCCTGAAGCCCCTCTACAACTATTGACATTTATCAAAGTTCATAGTTTCCAGAGGCAAGTTGTTTAGGGAATACTTCAGTGTTTTTCTGGGTAATCAGAGACAAGGTCTTAGCCGAAGTTTTGAGGGCTGTTATCATGTGTTAGGTAACATGGTACTGACTTGCTCTAGTATCATATGCCTCGGTAGAGGTATCCACAGGTAGGACACTGAAGTGGTGAGTGGAGCACTGAGGGGACATTCAGGTGTTGGGGAGCTGAGCCTGGATGTAGGAGGGCTGAGCACTGGACAGCACTGAGGAGAGTTATGTTGGGTACTGATAGAGCAGGAAGAGAACCCCCAGGCCCTGTGGCCAGTTCAGCACTCACTTGTAGGTCCAGCAGTCCTTCATGAGTTTGTACAGCTCAGGCGGACACTCTGGTGGACACTCCATCCGCATGCCCTGCTCAATGAAGGCCATGACCTCTGGGCCCTTCATCTTCTGCTCAGGTCACATGGGAGAGACATGTGAGTGGCCAGGGCCCTTGACCTCGGCCAGTCTCACCCCACCACCCACCCTCCTGCCTCTGCCTGAGCCTGCCTTGTAGGGCTTCTGGCCATAGGAGAGGGCCTCCCACATGGTGACCCCGTAGCTCCAGACGTCACTGCGGCTGGAGAACTTGCGGAAGTTGATGCACTCGGGTGCATACCATTTGAGTGGCCACTTCCCTGCTGAGCGAGCCTGCAGAGAGGGACATGCTGCTGGAGCAGGGCTTGGGAACCCTCCACCTGCCAACCCTGTCCACCTGGGCACCACAGGGGTGAGGACTCACAGTGTAGTAGCTGTCATCGGCACCCAATGCCTTGGAGAGGCCAAAGTCACTAATCTTGGCATAGTGCCTGTTGACCAGCAGGACATTGCGGGCTGCCAGGTCGCGATGCACAAAGTTCTTTTCCTCCAGGTATTTCATGCCCATGGACACTTGGTGCAGCAGCTCTGTCACATTGCTGACAGGGATCTCTTCCCTGGGAGGAGGGGAAAGGCAGGATTGTCTGGGAGGAGGCAGCTCACACTCCCAAGCAGGCAAAAACTCATTTCTTTAAGCCACTCCCCCCCATAAGCCATATTATGATATGTTCAATACATGCTTATTGAGCACCTGCTGTATGCCAGACATGGACCTGGGTGACAGCTAAGAACAAAACAAAAATCAACATCAAACAACAAAGCAAAACAACAACTATGATGAGCTCAACCAATGTCATGGCTTCAAATAACATCCATACACTATGATTCCCAAGCGTATACCCCTGCCTGCATCTCTGATGTCCCCCTGGGGGTGATTTTACAGACATTTCAATGTTAATATGGCCAAAGCTAATTCCAGATATCTCTCTCTCTCTCTCTCTCTCTCTCTCTTCAGCTGGCTTCTCCCTCTAATGTCCGCAGCTCAGTTCACAGCAGCGCCATCCTTCTACTCCCTCAGGCTAGGCCAGAAGCCCTGAGGTTCCTCTCAACCATACCACATCCAAACCTCCAGCAAACTCTACCTTCAAAATCTATCCAGAATTCACTTCTCCTGACCTTCACTTCTGGCACCTTAACTTGACTCCCATCGTCATCATCGTCATCGACTTCCTGAACTAGAACAGTCACACACATTCTCTCTCTTTCCTCTCTTCAGCTGAGGGAGCCTGGAATACCTGAGTGCAGCCATGCTACACCTCTGCTCACGGCCTCCCACAGCTCCCACCTGACTAGGGGAGTGAGCTCAAACCTGCCTGCAGCCCACAGGCCGTGAGCATCCATCCCCCTCACTCACTGTGCTCTAGCCCCGCCTCACTGCTCTTCTGACACACCAGCCTCAGGGCCCACCTCAGGGCCTTTGCCCTGGCTATGTCTTCTGCCTGGACTGCTGTCCCCTCGGCTCCCATTTCACTAACAATTCCCACCCCTCATCCTGCTCGCTTTCCATCCCCACAGGTGCTATACTTCATCTGATTATAAGCAACACTTCTTGTTTCTTTTTTTTCCAACTAGAATTCAGGGCAAAGATTTTTTTTTCTCTCTCTTTTTCTTTTCTTTCTTTTTTTTTCCCTGATGTTCTTGCAATAAGCCCTCTCAAGCAGTAAATGCCCAGTGGAAACCTGCTGAGTGGCCTGATGGCACCAGCTAGGGAGTATCCTGGTGCAGGGTGTCTCGGATGTGCAGGGGGGTGGACATGTGGAAATTATGCATACACTCACTGGCAGTGAAAGGTCCACATGGCAGTAGGAATGTGTACACACCATGAAATGAGTGTGGGTGTGTGTTCACCTGTGGGCAGACGGGGTGAGCCGCCCTCCAGCTGACCCAGTCAGGGCTGTCCAGTGCTCACCTCTTTCCTAGCAGGAACTTGTGCAGCGGCCCACCCCCTGCCATCTCCATGACCAGCATGAGAGCCTCTGCCTGGCACACACCGATGAGACGCACGATGTAGGGGTTGTCCAGCTGGTGCATGATCTGCGCCTCCCGCATCATCTCGTCCTTGTCCGCCTTCTCTGTACTGTGCTTCAGCACCTTGATGGCCACGTCTATCTGCTTCCTGCCCAGATGCACACAGCAGGGAAGGTGTCTTCAAGAGGCAGGCAAGGCCCCTCCATTCCCACCTGACTCCCCTATGGCTGCCCACTTTCCTTTCATGACTAGCTGTGCCCAGCTGCCGAGAGTGCTGGCTACAGAGAGCTCACACCCAAGTCCCTCTCCAAGAACTGCTGTGGCTGAGAAGAAGTGCCTGGTCATTAGTCACACCTGCCCCAGGACACCTTGCACCAAGGAGGCCAATGCAGGAACTGAGGGAATGCCCTCTGAGGTTCCACTGAGTCTACCAAGGTCCCAGTTACACCCCCAGCACAGTTCAGCCTTTCCCTGGGTGCAGCACATGACCCTCACTCCCGCCCAGCTCTCCCAGAAAATGTTCTTGAGTCCGATTTTCCTTCCCAGAGCCTGTTTCTCATGCAAACTGACATGGGACAGACAAACATGTGACTTTCAACCCTCAAGACCATGCCCCCACCCCCACAGCACTCCTGCACACACAGCTGTCATACTTGCGCATGCTGTAGACGCCCTGGCGCACCGAGCCGAAATTCCCACAGCCAAGTTCAATGTCGGCCATGAGGAGGTTCTCACGTTTCAGGAAGAGCTTCTTATCCTTCAGCTCCTCAGGGTCGCTGTAGGGGCTCTCATACACGCTCGTGTCCATGGGCAACGGCCGCGTTTTCGCCGGGGACACTGGGCGTGCTGGGCACACAGTCCCAGGACAGAAGGGAGGAAGGGAGCAGAAGGGAGGGGAAGTGGCTGCCATACAGCTCAGACAAGGGCTTGCCAGCCAGAGCACACATCCACCGGTATATAGGTGCATTTCTCCATTTGGAGCATGCACATTGACGTACAGGTGCGTTTCCCCATCCGGAGAGCGCACATCGGAATGAAGGTGGTTTATGTGCTCACAGTGTGCACACATGTATACTCTCAGCTGCATCTGTGTGTGCACTGTGGAAAGGTGTGATCGGCCAATGTGTGTTCACAGTCACTCCTGTGTAACATGAACACAGGGGCAAAGGTGTGTGTGCATGTGGAAGAACGTGTGCATTAGCTGGAGTGTGCACATGGGCTCATATGTGCACCACATGTGTACAGTTATGTACGTGCTGCCCAAGTCTACACATGCAACACACAGTCAGGCTTTGTACCTTGTGTGTACACAAAACTACACACTGTGTGCAGACAAAACCACATACAGCCTTCATGTGAGCAAGTTCGCATCTACACGTAAGCATGCCATGCATGTGTTCTCTGCAGAATGCTTTAAGAACATGGGCCTAAGTGTGTAGCTGCCTAGTTCAAATCCTGGTTACCTAAAGGATTTAGAAAATCACTTGTCCTCTTTTTTATTTGTTAAATGGGGTTAAGTATTCTAACTACAGTTGACCATTGATGCAGATTTGAACAGCACAAACCCAAAACTTTCCCCCCATTGCCACAGCTCTGTCAACCTTGTGGAAAAGGGGTCATGTTGCTAACCCAAAAGTAGGAGGTTCAAATCCATCAGGTACTTCATGGGAGAAGGATGGGCAGTCTCCTCCTGTGCTATTTACTGACTCTGAAAACCCACTAGAGGGTGAGCTGTGAGTCAGTTCAGACTTGACAGCACCCAACAAAAATTGTGCTCAAGAGTTGCTAGTATCCACATAAAACACAGTGTGGCACAAGCCATCTTTGTATGAAGATCCATCTCTCTGGCAAATTGCATAACAAAGAGCTAAGTTATTACCCAGATTTTTTACTATGCAGAGGTGTTGCCTTTAACCTCCACATTGGTCAAATGTCAACAGGAATTCATACAGAGTGTTGGGAGGGCTTAACGAGTGCATAAACACAGAGAGCTCCAAACATATCCAGCACACAGTAAGTGCTCATTAAATGTGTATTTGTGCACAAGATGCCTTCCCATGTGTCAGTATACACCTAGATGTACAAGTACATAGCGGGCCCAATGGAAGCGTGTACCTCTGTGGGGATTGTGTGTGCACAGAACAGTTAAGTAACTCCCCCACCCCGATCCCCACAGGCTTGGCCTGGCCCACCTCTCTCCTCCACCAACCCCAGAGCCCAGCTGGGACCTCATCATTGCACCCCACCACACTTCCACCTACGCCAGCTCACCTGGCTCTGGGGTATATCCATCAGAGTTGAGAGTGTCAATCTGCCTCTGGAGTTAAAGATCATATAGTCAGCAAGAGCCAGCAGGCCTCAGCCAGAGGTCCCAGCACCTCTTATGAGATATCCTCTGAGGACTTCCCAGGGACAGTGACCAGATTTGGGGGGTTCTTCTCCACAGAAGCTCCCTTCTCCTTTCCATCCTCCCCACTACAAGACCCACCCATCACCTGCCCACGCAGCTCCATCCCAAGTCCCCAGCTCTGAGGGTCTAGCTGACTCACGTGGGCGAATGTGGATGGATGGGTTGGGAGTGTGGGCGCGGCAGCTCCTGGAAGAGCAGAAGGAACAGTGAGGGACACCAAGGGCCAGGGCTTCCACCCACTGATACCCATGGCTCCCACTCACCAGAGGCAGCAGTGGCACTGGAGTTGGGACAGATCTCCTTGAGACAGTAAATGAGCCCATCTGCCTTCAGCTTCAGGTATTCTACAAGCTGCAGGAAGAAGATGTCAAAGTAGGGCTCCTCCCTGCTGGGAGCCCAACCCCCCCATCACAGTGTCTCCCCCAGGATGGGTGGGCAGACAGCCTACCTGCCAGAGAGTGTCAAACTTGGTTCCCTCAGGGATGCAGTACTTGCCAGCCTTGTCCTGACTGATGAGGTAGTGGTACACAGTCTTGCCATAGATCAGGGACAGTGCATATGTGCCCTGCTCCTTCCGGGGTCTCAGCCTACATGGGGCAGGCAGGTCTTGTCACTTCTATGGCCACCTGGACCCTTCCTGTGTGCTCACCTTCTGGGCCTCGGTTTCCCCACACATTGTTTGGGTTGTACACCTCAGGGTCTTATGGAGAAGTGCCAAGAACTAGAGCACCAACACTGGTGATGAGTTGGTGTGGGGGGAGAAGAAAGAGAGGGCATGAAGGGTCACAGTGCCTATGGCAAGCACATCCAAGGCCAGACACATTCCACCACCGCAGGCAGACACATTCCCATCCAGGAACAGATATGCAGCCACCCACACGAGACATCTGGTCCTCCTAGCTGGGCACTCAATCTCCTACACCTCAACATCCAGTGTCCCCTGGGGACCTCAGTCTACTGGCAGATCCACTCAGTCCTGCACAGTCAGACCATGGGAGGACACTTGGCCAACCACTGTAGACACTCACAAGGGGACACAGCCTTCAACAGGGAGACAGAAAACCATTCTCTGGGGAAAGAAGGTCATTTCCACAAGGACATCCACACGGTCAGCACAGCTCCTTGACCAGCTCCAAAGCAGAGCAAGTAGATCATTGCAATAGATCAACCAGTTACATTGATAATACGTTGATAATTTTGCTACCATAAATGCTGGTTGCCTTCTGCTGGAAACTTGTAGCTAAAGAAAGAATTAATGAAACACCAGACACCACAGATGAATCTAGAGGAAATTATGCTGAGTGACCAAAAGGACAACTGGCCTAAAACAACTATTATAAAGAGCTCTGGAAAAGTTTACACATGCAATGATTCCTAGGCGGTTACTGGGGATGGGAAGAGAGGGGAAGGCAGTGAAAAAGAATAATCTGAGTAAAAGGAGAGGTGGGATACAATGAGAAGTTGAGCGGACGGTGTAACTATATTAATTATAATTAATAATATAAAACAAAATGTATATGAATGATTAAGTATAAACCAGTATGATTTGTAAATTTTCACTCAAGTAAAAAATACCTTAACTAAATAGACAAATTCTCCCTTTCTGTGTGGAGAGTGGGCGTCCGAGAGTTGGTGATCCTGCACACCCAAGCACCCACAGGCACACACTCTGACACACACTCACCCTGCACGCTCAACAGCCAGAGAATCAGACCTCCTACAGTGACACCAGTCACAATTTCCTGCAGAATAGTTCTGTTGTGAATCACTGGCTTGAGGATTCCAGGGCTGAGTGTGGATTTCCAACAGACGAGGAAGGCAGCTCGTCTTGAGAGTCTTTGAGCTAGTGGAAGCTGACTGCTGACCACTCATCACTAAGGAAGAACACTCATTTAAAAAGTAGTCGCCTGCACTGAGAAGTGGACAGCAGCAAACAGCAACTGGAATGGCAGGAGAACGAGCAAGCTCAGAAGGATAAGCCTCAGACAGGACTTGGGTCTCGTTCACTCATTTACTGGGTGTCATCCATGGGCCAGATGTTGTTCCAAGGGCAAGGATAGAGGTAGACAAGAGAGATGCCAGCTAACTAAGCCAGTGGGCCATTTGTCACTCTACAGAACAGAGAAATTCCCCTCCATCACCAAATCAGAATGCAGAATCAGAATGGACTGAGGGCAGTGTAACCATCCCGTCCATTCCTCCACACAGCACTCTTCAGAGAACAATGGTGTGGAATGGTGGCACAGTTCCCAGGGAAAAGATCCTGAAATAGGCAACTGGGGTGGGGTTAAAAGTGCAACAATGAATGAAACCCCAAAATCTCTGTAAATGTTCATTAAAACTAATAAAATTTAATAATAAAAAAAAGTGAACATTTAGGGCGAGGAAGAACCCCCCCACACACCTCTGCTGCCCACACAAACTAAGAAATGAGAATGTCTGCATACAGGAAGTTTCTTTTGGAATTAAACTAGTGGGCTACCCTGGAAGTTAACATCTCTAAAACTTTATGTTTTTAACAATAGAAATGTAATTCCCAGCCATGGCCTAGTAATTTTGTGTGGAAGATTAAAAAGTAAAGAACACAGCCACAATATTTGCTGGCTATTCCCATCAAAAGACATCATCTATTTCTCTCTCTCCAGGCTAGATGATGTGATGAGTCAATACGACTTTAGAAACCATGACCTAAGCAGAGGTTTAGAAAGAGCTTATTCATCAGGATTTGCCCTTTCACGTTTCTGGCAACCTTGCAATCACCATGGGAATGAGACCAAGTGGCCTGCTGGAAAAGCCACATAGCGGTGACCCAAGCAATGCCATCCTAGACACTCCAGCCCTGGCAGCCACGTGAGCAACCTCAAGGAAAACCAACTGAATTCAACCAAATCACCCAAATGAATGCAGCCTAAATTGTCAAGTACAGAATGAAGAGTTATTGTTAGGTGCCCTGGAGTTGATCACAACTAACAGCAAGACTATGAACAACAGATCTGAGACCTGTCCTATCCTGTGTCATCCTGACCATCTCTGAGCCTACTGTTACAGTCACTGTAACTATGTAATCCATTTCGTTGAGGGTCTTCCATTCCTTTGCTGACCCTTCATGTATCACAGCATAATTTATTTTTCCAAGGCCTGGCCTTTCTTTTTTTATTTTTATTGTGATTTTAATGAAAGCTTACAGAAAAGTTGGATTTTCATTTATTCATTTGTTGATGAGTACTTGGGTTGCTTCCATCTCTTTGCTATTGTGAACAAAACATGGGTGTACATACACCTGTTTGGGTGACAATTCTGGTTTCTTTAGGGTATATTGCTAGTAATGACACTATTTCAAACTTTTTGAGAGAGTGCCATACCTCCTTCCATAGTGGTTGCACCATTTTACACTCCTACCAACAGTGAATAAGGGTTCCAATCTCTCCACAACCTCATCAGCATTTATTGTTTGCTACTCTGTTGAAGATTGCTATTGTTACCAGGGTGAGATAATGTTTCATCACTGTTTTAATTTGCATCTCCCTGAGAGCTAGGGATTTTGAACATTTTTTTCATGTGTTTATTTGCCATCTGAACGTCTTCTTTAGTGAACTGTCTATTCCTATCCTGTGTTCATTTTGCAATTGAGTTGTTTATATTTTTCTTGTTGAGGTGCTGGAATATTCTATACATTTTAAATATGATTCCCTTATTAGATATGTCATTACCAAAAATTGTTCTCCAGTCTATGGCTTCCTTACCTGCTGGAGAAGTTTTTTTGATGTGCTTAGGGATTTGATTCTCAGAAGGTCCTGTTCATCTATTTTATTCTCTCCTGGTTGTATGTTTTTCAAGATGCTTGGAAGCCTCTTCAAATAATGGATTAGAGCTTTGAGAGTTCTTGTAAGCTTTTCTCTGAAAAAGTTTATAGTCCTTGGTTTTACTCCTAAGTCCTTGATCCACTCTGAATTGGGTTTTTGTGCATAGTGTGAGGTGTGGGTCTTGCTTGAGTTTTTTTTTATTTTATTAATTTTAATTAACATTTACAGAGATTTTGGATTTTCATTCATTCATTGTTGCACTTTTTTTTTTTTTCAGTTTTCCAGTTTGGGGGACAGGCTCATCTTGACAACATGCCCAAAGTATGTGACATGAAGTTTCACCACCCTTGCCGCTAAGGAGCATCCTGGTCACATTTTCTTCAAGACAGACTTGTTTGTTCTTTTGCTAGTCCATGTATACAGGACTCTCCTCCAACACCACACACAAAGACATCAATTCTTCTATCTTCCTTATTCATTGTCCAACTTTCCAGTTCAAAGGAAGTCATTGGAATGACCATGGCTTGAATCAGGTACCCTTTAATTTTTAAACTAACATCTCTGCTCTTTAGCACTAAACAGCAGACTTTACCAATGCAACATGTCTTTTGATTTCTTCACTGTAGATGTCAATGGTGCTGACTGTGGATCCAAGTAAGACAAAATCAATGACACCTTCAGTCTTTACTCCACATATCATGATTCAATAGTGAAGTTATTTTTTTAACATCATTTTAATTGCTAACTTGGTCACATATTGTTTCCTTCCTTTACTTTTTATTTATTCATCCCATCAATCACTTTTATAGAATCATTCAGATATATTATTTCATTCATACATATTTTGTTTACACAATCATTTTTGTACTTTGTATTTTTGTTTTCTTGATGTTGTGTTGTGGTCCATATTAAAAGCTGTAATCTTTGATCTTTTACAGTAAATGTTTCAAGTCCTCTTCATTTTCAGCAAGCAAGGCTGTGTCATGTTTAAAACAGGTTGTTGGGATGTGTTTCTCCAATCCTGATACCACATACTTCTTCATACAGTCTGCTTCTTGGAAGATTTGTTCAGAATACAGATTGAATAGGTATAGAGAGAAGAAACAGCCCTGATGCATGCTTATTTTAAGCCACTATATATTTTTTTTAATTTTCAGCAGAATCTTGGGGAGGGAACTGCATCTTGTGAGAGGCTATGTAGGTAAGCTAAGACAAAGACACACACACACACACACACACACACACACACACACACACACACACTGAAGGGAGAAATCAACTCTCCAAATGGATTAACCCCAGAGGAGGGAACAGCTCTAGGGAAGGTGGATGAAAGGAAGGCTTCAGTGGGCAGGAACTCAGGCCAAGAAACTCCAGGAGAACAGAAACCTGGGGAACCCAGACACCCTAGGAAGGGTGTCAGACTGCTGAAGGTCATGGGAGAGAGGCAGGCACCCACCTCCTCCAGATTTCCAGGCCCGAGTGACCTCAGCTGACATCTACATATAATTTTCATACAAAAGATGGGGTTCAGAAAATATCCTCAGTATGGGGTCCAGAAAACAACCGTATCTAACAGGGCTTTCAAAAGCATGGGAGGATGTGTGTGTGTGTGTGTTTCTTATAATTAGATGTAAATTTATTATACTATATAAACAAGGATTATACAATTTACATATTTTTGGTTCTCAGAGTATTTTGCAACAAGAATATTTGATCAAGCTGGCAGCTGTAAACCAATGTTGAGTGGTTAACAGAAGGGAAATGGTTGACTTTTGAAATGGAAGCAAATAAATGAAACTTTGCACAATGGATAAAACCTGTGATGATGCATTTTTATCATAGATTAAATCTCAATGTTCAGAGTACAAAGCACTCAGGATAAATTAAAAAATAAAATCCACCAAACAAAAATCAGTAACATCTACTGTGTCATACATATAACATTCCCTACAAGTATATGTTGGATAAAGAAGGAAGAATATACTATACAAGGCATGTCAACAGTGCATTTCACCATCACACTTCGCAATCCTTTATATAAAAAACCCAAAAGTGTTGTTGAGAGCTGTGCATAGATAAAAAAATGAAAGTGTATAATTGTTATTAGGTGCCTGTTGAGAGGTTTCTGAATATAGCACAACAGAGAAAGCAATGCTCAGTGCTATGTCATCCTTAAGGAACTTGATGTTGCTGCTACCATGCTAATCCATCTCATTGAGCTTCTTACTGTTTTCAGCTGACTCTCTAGTTTCCATATTAGAAGCGTTGTAGCAAGTCATCTTTGATTATTGTTGTTGTTAGGGGCCGAAGACTTAGCAAGCCTATAAAAAAACAGATCTGAACCTTGCCCTATCCTGTGCTGTCCTCACACTTCCTGACACACTAGATCCAACTGTGGCAATTGTTGTGTCAGTCCACCTGGTTAAGAGTCTTCCTCACCTTCGTCAACCCTCTGCCTTTTCAAGAATGATGTCCCTCTCCAAGGAATAGCCTCTCCTTGCAACATGCCCAAAATATGTGAGGAAAAGCTTTATTATCTTTGCCTAAAAAGAGCACTCTGGCTGCACTCTCCCCAAGATATATTTGTCCTTTTGGCAGTATCAGTTCTTCCTCTGTTACCCTATCCAGCTCTCAGATGCACGGCAAGTGATCAGAAAGACCATTGTCAAATCAGTCTGACTTTAGTCCTCAAATGAAAATCACTACTCAACAATTTGGAGAGGTCTTAAACTGCAAACTTTCCCCAGGCAATACATCTCCTGATTTTCTGACTGTTGGTACCAAGGGTGTTAACTGTGGATCCAAGTAAGATGAAGTTGTTGACAGTTTCAATCTTTTTTCCATCTATCATAATGTTGCCTGTCAGTCTGGTGGTAAGAATTTTTGTTTTCTTGATGTTGAGATGTAATCCATATGGAAGGCTGTATTCATTGATCTTCTGGGCTTCATATCCTCCTCACTTTCAATAAATAAGGTTCTGTCATTTGCATAACACACGTTATTGATGAGTGTTCCCCGATCTTGATGCTACATTCTTTTGCAAAAAGTCCACCTTCTCAAATAATTTGCTCAGCATATAAATTGAATAGGTATAGAGACAGAATACAACCCTGTTACATTTCCTTAATTTTAAACCATGTAGTGTTGCCTTGTTCTGTTCACACAACAACCTCTTGGCCTAGGTAAAGATTTTACTTGAGTACAATTAAGCGCCCTGGGATTCTCAGTCTTCTCAATACTAGCCATAATTTATATATAATATAGTCAAAATGCCTTTGCATAGCAGGATTTTTAAAAATAACTTTATAGGAATTTTCACAATAATGATTAAAAAAAAAAACAACAACACACTTAAAAATTCACATGGCGCAGCTGGAACTCAGACACATTTGTCTATTTCTGCTAATCAAGAACACAGAATGCACCACTAGTACTGCACTGACCCATTGTGATCCACAGGGTTCCACCAACTCACCTCCAGAGTACACAGCCAGGTCTTTCTTCCTAGGCTCCTTCAGTCTAGAATCTCTGCTAAAACCTGCTGTATGGCATAGGAATGTGCAAGCCTCCACTGACAAGGCTGAGTATGAACCCAGGCCACAGCATAGAAGGCAAGAATTCTACCACTGCACCACCAATGCCTATACTGTCGCTTCCACATTAATCAATATCTTTATAACAAACCCTTGGGACAGGAATTTCTGTCATTTAAGAGCCGTTAGAGAGGGCGCTTCAACAGCACCTATGGCTCCCACCTCACTTGGGTAAAAGGGAAATTTCTCACTGCATTCTCTTGTCACTGGCTCATCTTACCTCCTGATCTTCCCCTTTGCTTTTTGGGTTGAAGCCACCCAGTCCTCCTCAAAGTTTTCAGAAGATCCCCTTGGCCAGAAACATTCTTCCAACATCAGCTGCACAAAGTGAACTCATTCCTCACTCCCTTTGGTTCATTACTATTCCCTCCTCAGGAAAGTTTCCTCCAGACACCTGAATTGCAAGCCCTCCCCATGCACACGTGTGTAGAATTTAGAACCATCTGAAATGCTGTATACTTCATTTCAACATAATTTTTGTGTCTAGTTTATTTACCACCTCATCTTCAGTGCCTGGCATACATTACGCATTCTAGGTATACTTTTTGAATACATGAGTCCTTAGCGTGGAAACAGAAAAAGGGAGACGTGCTACTTCTTGCAGCTGGTAAATGGCCATAGTGAAATGCCGAGCCCAAGTCCAAATAGCCTTTCCTAACTAGTACTTTTTGCTTTTAAAATCCCTTTGTACACACATAAAGGCACATGTATGCACCACGAGGGCTTATGCCCTGGTACAGCCCTCACCGGCTCACCCACACACTCAGGTCAGCCCCACCCTCTAAGAACCTGGAGCCTAGACACCAGCCCTCACCTCCCCAAAACTCCAAGGCTCAACTCCCACATACAGAAACTTGCCGTCAGTCTGAGCGCCCGAGTAGAGTTTGCGCTCAGCCTCTTCACGCGTCAGACTGTTGTGGTACCAGGGCATCCGCTCGTGGGCCGTGGTGGCGATAAGCTTCTCTACCTGGGGCGCCTGGCTGATGATGGCCTGCTCCAGCGCCTCACCCTGCGGGAAGGGGGTTGTCATTATGGCAAGTATGCACCGCAGGAACCCTTCCCATGTCCTGGACTGCTGTGTCCCCATGAGACTCCATGCCCTACCCTGGTGCGATTAACGGTGTCCCCTGCAATTGGTTGAGACAGCCCACATGTTATCATTGTTGCTATTATGTGCGGTCGTAGTGGAACTGTCTCATAGCTGGCGCCCTAGCAGGTTCTAAGAGGCACTAAATCACTCAGGAGTCGACAGGTAGCTTTCTCCAGCGGAGGAGTGGTGGATTCGAACCGCCAGCCTTTGAGTTGAAAGCGCAACTCCACTAGGCCACCAGAGGTCTCTTCTCTTCTCACAAACCATACCTATTTGTGCCCACACCCTCAGTCTGGTGTGGGTCCTAAGTGCGCCTGTGGCTTCCAGGTCTGATTCTGGTCAAGCACCACGTTGCACTGCAGCATGCTGAAGACAACAAATCTCCCCACGTCCTAAGGAGACCCGCTCCAGCCGGTTTCAGTCCTTCCACGGCCTGTGCGCACCTCTACGTCCCAGTATAGTTTAGCAGGAGATTGTAGGAACGGGTCACAGAAGGCCCATCACCACCATCACAGAAGTGCTGCCTCCAATCAGAGCGCCAATCCTTCAGCTTCAGCTCCAGGAGCAAGCCAGCAAGGGTGGAGCAGGCGAGGGCCTGTCTCTCTCCCAGAGCCCCAGGCCTTTCCCAGGCGCAGCTCATCCCTCCCGCCCCGCCTCCACGTGCAGCCCGCACTCTCACCTCCAGTTTCCAGGTCTGGCGGACGTAGTCCCGCACCATGGCGTCCCGCAGACAGTCAAAGACCCCGGGCTGAGGTTCGAGGCCCGGAGGCCGATTGCACGGCTTGCGCAGGTTGCAGGGAAGCCCGTCGGGGTCCCGGGAGTAGAACTCGCAGAGCTCGGCGGGGCCGCAGTGCGCCTTGCCGCCCGCGATGGCGTAGGTGCCGTTGAGCTGGCGCTCGATGGGGAAGTGGTGGAAGCGCACGTCGTGCACGAGCGAGAGCACATAGCCGCCCAGCGAGCGCAGGCACTGGCGCAGCAGGAAGAGCCCGTCGGCCATGCCCGCCAGCTTCAGGTGCTCCTCGGCTTCAGCCCGCGAAATGCTGCCATAGAAGAAAGGCAGGTGCGCCGCGGGGTCCGGCATCTCCGCCCTGCGCAGGCTGCGCACCTCGCCCTGAGGGATCAGAGGAGATTGGGAGGACATAGGGTGAGCTCACACAGCACGATCCGTGCCACCTTGGGCTGTGATTGTCCCAACAACTTGGAGAGGAGCCCCAGTCCTCTCCAGTGGGTATTCAGAGCTAGGAAACTGCAGGGGAGGGGATGGCCGTGTCCTCCTGCGGAGCTGCTGGTGGATTAGAACTTTTGGATTGGCAAGATTGCTCCTTACCACGAGGTCACCAGGGCTCCCTGGGAAGGCCCATCCTCACCTCTAACTTGTCAGAGATCGTGTGTGGACCCCGGCACCCCACACACCAGCACCCAGACACATGAATTCATTTCACAAACACATATTGAATTGTTACTGTGCTTCAGGCCCAGCACTGGCAAACATGGCCCCTGACCCCTGATGATAACACGATTGGAAAGTGAGGGGATGCAAAAAAGAAGGTGATAATTGCTGGTCGAGCTGAGTATTTGACAAGAAATATTTAGGAGGCCGCGCAAGCCAGGTCTGAAGGATGTGTGGCAGCTTCCCAAGGAAGTTAGAGCACCACCTTAGAAGTGAGGATGATGAAATGTTGTCTCACTTTCACTTTGGACATGTTATCAGGATGGGCCAACCCTGGAAAGGGGCGTCATTCTTAATAAAGTACAGAATCAGGGAAGAAAAGAGAGGAAGACACATCACCCCACCCCCATGCAGATGGATGGGACAGAGGCGACCTATATGCACTCAAATCATGACCATGAGGCACACGCGGGATTGCAGTTTCCTTCTGTTGTTCTTAAAGCCGCTGTGAATTGGAACCAGCTCAACGCCACCTAACAACAACAAATCACACCAGGCAAAGGGGACAGCAAGTGCAAAGGCTGAGCTGGAACCAGTTTCTCTCAACAAGGGACCCTTCCCCCCCCTCCAATTTCCTCAGTTCCAGAATTCTCCCCTTATCAAGAAAAAAGAGCCTTCTCCCCCCTGATTCTGTGCCTTCACAACTTTCGAAGGCATGTCTGAGAAGCCAAATAGACTCCATTTTATGTAACACTCACTCCATTTGAGTAACCAAACCCTGTGTGTGGAAAATTTCTGCCCCAAGCCCTAAAATTTTGTCTTGGCCCATTTTCCAAAATAGGGCTATTGTTTACAAACCCAAGATGTAGACGTTTTGTACTGTACCCTTGACTACTGAAGAGCAACAATGTCAGTCTAGAGACCAAGGTGCACCTGATACAGCCATCGTCTTTGCAATTACTTGCATCAGAGAGCTAGACAATGACTAGAGATGACAGAAGTAGAGTTGATGCCTTTGAGCTGAGGTGCTGGAGAAGAGTATTGAATATACCATGGACTGCTAGGAGAACAAACATGTTCATTCTGGAGAGGGTGAAGCCGGGCTGCTCATTGGAGGCCAGGATTCTGAAGCTTCATCTGACATACTTAGGACATGTTGCAAGGCAGGATCAGTCCTTGGAGAGGGTGGAGGGACAGCACAAGAGAGGAAGACTCTCGATGAGATGGACTGATTCGGAGATGGTGAGATTGGCAAGGGATAGAGCAGGGTTTAGGCCGTTATACAAAGGGTTGCTATGAGTTGCAAGCAACTCAATGGCACATAACAACAACAACCCTTGACTATGCCGCTGTACCCTTAGAAATATGTCAACAGCGAGATACTGTAGCCTGGGCTCAAATAGCCCAGCATCTGGGGGAGAGTAAATGTGTAAAAGCACCTAGCTGAAGCTAGGAGAGGGCTAGGACACACCCCCACCCCTCACCCCAATGCACAGGGAATAAAAGAACTCACCTATAATCCTGCTGTGGGTGTGTCTCTCAATCCGTTGGGCCAATCAATGTCCATTTACAGAGAACTAGTTAACTACTCAAATCCACTACCATCAAGTCAGTTTCAACTCAAAGGGACCTCCACCAGCTGAGGTTGTGAATATTTATAGAAGAGACTGTCCATCTTTTGCCCTCCAGACAGCTGGTGACCTTTTGGTTCATAATCCATTCCATTGTATAACTTACACACAAACCCTGATAAAGCCAGGGTTCAATAAAATGAGGTGTGAGATGAACCCACCCTGGTGGGGAGCACTGATGCCACCACCAGCCAGTGGTGGATCCTAGTGAGTGGTGAGGGTCTTCCATGCCAGGACCATTGGCAGGGTAAGAAAGAAAACAAAGAAAATGTGGCTTTGGAAGTCAGTGAGAAACAGGATGGAATCTGAGCAGCAGATAAATCCGCAGATGCCACTGAGGGGCCCTTCTGGGAGCGGCAAAGGCATGTTACCAAAGGCGTGTCTCTAAACAGCATGAGGCCACTAATGAGTTCAGGGGTGCCAAGGCTATGACAGGAGGCAAAGGAGAAGGGGTTCTTTGTCCTCCCCTCACTCCTGAGAAAAGACCCACTCTCCTTTCTTTTTTTTTTAATTTTATTTTAGTTATTTATTTATTTTTTATGTGTGTACCGTCAAATTGGATCTGACTGGTACAGGAGGCAATTATTCCTCCTTCTTCAGCAGAGCATCTGGTGGATTTGAACCGTGTACCTCTGGGATTGCAGTGCAGCTTCCTGCCACTAGGCCACCAGAGCTCGCCCCACTCTCCTTTCTTGAGGGTGTGTTTTTCTTATTAAAACTTAACTCTGCAGAGCTTTCTTAAGAAATTTTTATTTTTTAATCATTCTTCTGCCTGGTTGTGTGTTTTTTTCTTCGCTTTTGCTCCATTCCCCTTGGAGGTCTATCTAGACTGCACCCTGGTACCAGGAGTAATTCCTGGTACTTTAACTTATATCAGGGAACCCCTCATACACTACCAGCCATCTGTAGCCCCTCACTCCTGCTGGACCACCCCCTCCCCTGCCCCAGTGGGGGTCCCTGAAGTGCCTGTCCTGCTCTCTCTCTATCCACAGCCTTTTCTCCCTTACTGGGGCCCTCCTAGGTGTGACTGCACAAGCCACTCACCTCTCTCTGCCCAGCCTCTTTCTTGAAGTTAGTTTGTGCTGGCATCACTTTTGATCTCCACAAACTGCTTCTATTAATACAACCTGAGATCCAGATCTAACACACACCGACTCTGTGGTCGACTGGGCCCCTCAGTGTGTTTCACACGTGAGCTGAGCTCCTTGGCCTGCAAGATGCTTCTAGATGATTCTGTCAACACCTCTCTTGCTCCCAGATTCAGTGTGGCTCCTCCTGGCCTATCTTGATTGAATCTAGACTCCTCTGCCCTCAATTCCAGCCAGGCTCCTCTCCTTGCCTGCCTTCATATTCACAGCAATGTTTTCACCCACTCAGCATCAGCTACAAGTACACCCTCCCTGATCGTCTCCATCCTCCTCAATCCAGCCAGCCCTGTCTCCTGGATGTGCAGACTCCCAGGTAGTTGCTGCCACCCCATAGATATCAGTATGCACAGGACAGGCAGAGGGGAAGGTCCTGGTCCAGGGGCAGCAGTAGGGGTGGTCTTCGAGACAGGAAGCTGCAGCAGGAAGCCATTGTGGTTAGAGAGGCTCCTCCCCGGTGGCCACAGGTGCCACGTGAGGAGCTGTGGGTGAGAAAGGGCAGCAGTGGAGGGTGGGGTGGAGTGGATGGAGACTGGCCCTTGGGCCCATCAAGGGTCGCAAATTATGACGACCACCTCCCACTGGAGGCCACAGTGTCCCAGAGGCTGGCTTGCTCTCAGTGTCAGCCTTGTTTTCCTGTCACGTTCCAACAACAACAGACAGGCCACCTCACTGCCTGGCAGGACAGCCAGCCCCTAGCCCACACGCACCTCCCTGAGCGCCTCTGGATACAATGGGGATAAGACTGGCATCCACGTTCCAGCAATCCAGTGGCAAGTGATGGTAAGGTAATGAGAGTCTGAGGAGGACAGGCAGGAGCTGGGGCTGCCCTGAATGGCTCTGGCAGAGGCCTGGCAGCTGGATCAAGGGCAAGACAGGCTGTATGAAGCATTCACTTTTGGAAGAGCTGAGCCAATTGCAGTATACCACTGTGACTAGCCTAGACGCAGGCCCAAGGTACAAGTGTCACATGCTGTGGTCATCTCACCGTAATAACAAGAGCAAAGTTCAACAAAGCAGCAAATAACAAATGCTAGTGAGGTTGTGAAGAGATTGGAACCTTTATTCACTACTGGTGGGAGTGTAAAATGGTGTAACCACCATGGAAGGCAGTATGGTGCTTCCTCAAAAAGTTGGTAGTAGAGAAACCATTTGACCCAGCAGTCCCACTACTGGGAATATAAACTAAAGAAACCAGAGCTGCCACCCATACAGATGTGTGCACATCCATGCTTATTGCTGCATTGTTTACAATAGCAAAGAGATAGATGGAAGCAATCCAAACGCCCATGAAAAAATGAATGGGTAAATAAACTATGGTATTATTCGCATGATGGAATACTACTAAAAAAACAAGGAACTTGTAAAATATTGCATAATATGGGTAAACCTCATGGACGTTAAGCTGAGTGAAATATCTCGGTCGCAAAAGGACAAATATAGCATAACACAGCTGTTAGAAAACAGTACTAATGGGGCTGGGAGGAAACTAAGAGGAAATAAATACTGAACACTGCATTGGAACAGATGAAGGAAAGAACAGTTTAAAATGAGTATATGATTAGACATTATTTTCATTACAACAGTCCAGAAAAAGTGGTGCCTAACAAAGTGGACTGGGAGGGAGTGGGAAGGTGGGGAGGAAAATGTGCAACGAAGAATGAATGAATGAAAATCCAACTTTTCTGTAAAATTTTTGTTAAAATCACAATTAAAATAAAAATTTCTTAACCCGGGAGAACTCTGGCACAGATCAGCTCTGACCCACATGGGACCTCCACGGGGTGGGGGCAACTCATCAGTTTCATAAGCCGTATGGGGGATGCTGTTGTCACGCGCTGTCAAGTTGACTACAACTTACAGCGACCATTCAGAACAATGGATCTGAACCCTGCCCTAGCCTGTGTCATCTTCA